ATGTGCAGGAGCAGTAAGAATGATAGGAAAGTTATTCATGAAGCAGCTGGTGTTTATTGGTGCTTGGATGTGTTTTTTCTTCTAAGCGCATTACGCATATTAACATGCCTGTTCCTCACGGCAGCCCCTCGGGGTCGGAGCTGCAGGTGAGGGGCCCCAGGCAGAGCGTGGCTGTTCCCCAGCCGTCACACAGGTGCCGATGCAGAGCCCGATCTCAGACCCAAACCATCGGCTCCTCTTCCTCGTGTGGAAAGAATGGGCTGTGGCGGGAATGGCAGCACTCGAGACGGCGGGACGCCGGGTCTGCGGTGACTGTCGGGGCCGCGGCTGGTCGGGCAGTTGGGGGTCAGATCACGAAGGACCTGGAGGACACGCTAAGGACTTAGAATTTCATTCTGCGACCCAGCAGCTGTGTTTTTGCGAAACCAGGTCCAGGGCTTGCTTTCGTCAGAATCACTTGAGGTGCTTCTTAGGAATGCTCGTCCCCAGGTCCCTTCACGGCTGCGAGAGCCGATGTCCGTGCCGGGAGGTGGCCGAGGGCTTGCGCCCTGGGGTGAGTGAGGGTCCAGGGGTCAGCAGGCCTATCGTGCCCACCCGCCACTGCTGCTGTCACCGGCCCCGAATCTCTTGGCGTTCAATCTGCTGAGTTGAACATGAATGTAAAGAAGGCCACGAGCTCCGTTTTCTGTGTGCTGGGTTTAGTTTGCTTGTAGAATGTCCTCTGGAAGATGTGAAGAAACAGAAGCAGCTGCCTGCTTGGATTGGAGATGCGGGATTTTTGAGGCTCTTGGTTGGTTAGACTCGTGGATGGAGTTGCGTTGCTTGTGTGGAGCGGGCCGCGCGGCTGAACAGCATTGAGATGTGGAGACATGACAAGTGTCATGTCAAAGTCAAGAGAGGAAGAAGAGCACCCCCAGAAGCGTGAGGGGCTCCGGGGAGGGGGAGGTCAGGGATTAAGGAGGAGGGTTGCAAGAAGTCTTTATTTTTGTTAAATGCATCCGAGAACCCGTGTAAGAAAGGCCTAGAAAAGACCGGCAGGGTGAGTGAAGAAGCAGAATCTAGTGGAGTGCGGCGGGGAAGCCAGATTGGCAGGTGCACGTTCTGGCAGGGGCAGTGGCGATGGATAGAATATTCCGTCAAAACCCGGCTTTCAGAGGAAGGAAAAGCCAGGTGATCATGAGAAAAGGCTGCAAGGTGAAGGGAGACTGTATTACCGGCTTTTTATCCTTTTTACACAATACACACTTCTTACAAAGATTGAAATAGTACAGACATGCAAAGAGTAAAGATACCCTTTATCCAATAATCAAGGATAACCAGTGTTAAAATTGGCCATTATTTCTTCAGTCATGTTTCTACCAGTATAGAGTGGTAGTAGATGTGTGTACACACTTTCAATGAAAACATGTTACAGCTGTCCACATTTTTGTATGTACCTCAGTGTATCAGAGACACCTATTCTTCCATTCCATAGTGTCTTACACCATCTCCTCACCTTGTGTTACACTGTGAGTGTCTAACGGTTTCGGTAATTGTATTATTGGCACTCTTGCTGCTTGGACACTTTTGCATTTTAAATTGTGCTGCCGTTAATATCAGCGTGGGTCCGCCTTTTTGGATTTCCATGCTTACCGATTTCTGATGAGTTTCAAGTTTGGAACCGTTAGTTAGATTAATAGAGCGACGTCCCCCGTGCAGTGTGGGTCTCTGGGACCCATAAGCCAGGTAGATGGGTTAGTCTTTCACGAAGGGACAGACGTTCCCTTCTCTCTGGTGCCCGGAGAGAAGTGTGAGCCTGTAGGTTGGGGGGGGTGGCGGGGGGGTGGGAGCCAGACTTGGGGAATGCCTGGGGGGGCGCGTGTGATCATCTACTTGACCCGAATGCAGACCGCTCAAGGGCATGGTATGTGGTGTTGGAAAGGTGTGAGGGTTTGAGAAAACGATTGAGAAGCAAAAGCAAAGAAATCCATGAGGGGTGGGCGCTGGGGCCAGTGAGCCGAGCTGTGAGTAGCTGGTGTTGAGACCTTGTGTCCCCCGTGGGCCCTGGAACTCCCTCCCTCTGCGTGAGGGACAAGGTGCGTGGTGGCTAATAGCAGTGAAGGCGGAGGGCACTGTAGTCACTGACCGGGCTGCTGAGAAGACGTGGAAGGCACAAGTGATCATGAGGGATGATGCGTGTCTGGGAAGCGCATGGCAGTGAAACACCAATGTGAGGTCCAGCCGCCCCGCTCCCCCTCCCGCAGGAGACGCAGGCTTGGTTTGGAGGTGGGTGCCCGGCAGTCTCTCTGCTGTGGGACCAGGAGGGCAGGGGATGCTGAGGGCTGGTTTGGGGCTGGGCACCTGGCATCTCTTTCCTGCTGTGGGACTGCGGGGGTCCTTCCTGGGGCTCCCGCCTCTGCGCTGCGCGTGGGAAATGCGTGCGGTCGCCCTTCGGATGGCACAGCCAGGAATGAGGTCACACGGGCGGGTTTTGGCCGGTGATACATGTGACCTGGACATTGTGAGCCTGAGACCACTGGCTCCCCGGCGCCCTCGTTCACGCGGAACCTCTCCTGCACATTCTCACGCGGGTCCGGGAGCCACGAGGACTCGGCATCTGAGCCCGTGTGCCCGGCGTCTGCGCCCGTGTGTCTGGCAATGTGCCCGGTGTCTGCGCCCGTGTGTCTGGCACCTGCGCCCGTGTGCCCAGCGTCTGCCCGTGTGTCTGGCACCTACGCCTGTGTGCCCGGCGTCTGCGCCCGTGTGTCTGGCACCTGTGCCCGTGTGCCCAGCGTCTGCCCGTGTGCCTGGCGTCTGCACCGTGTGTCTGGCACCTGCACCCGTGTGCCCGGCGTCTGCACCCGGCCCGACACCTGTTAGGCCGTTCAG